TAATTATAGCAAACCTTTGACCTAAGAACGCCAACACTAAACCCATCTTCGTCCAATGTCCGGTGAATTCCGGACCGCTACAGACCTCAACCATAAATTCCGAAACCCCTAGAACCCCACCAAACCCCGCGAACAAACAACAAAGCACACTGAGGCTCGAGCAGCAAGCCCTCCTGCGCGGATGGACTTCGTTTCTCTCCGGCTTTGGGGCTACAGGTCTGGTGAACCCGTCTACGCAGTGGTGGAGAAGGTGATAGCAGTAATACTGCGCTTACTTCGGGCTGTGCATATTTCGGGGCACCGTGCTCTAAGCTCTGTAGAACCAGGTGCCACCATGTTCCGTACGTGAGTGTCGCGTTTTGAACCCTAAACCCTAAACCCTAGACCCCTTAACCTAAACCCTATAAACCCTAAACCCTAAACCCCATACCCTGGAAAGGCTTGTGCAGGCTTGGACCTCCTTCAAATCGGAACGTGGAATCTGAACCCCAAACCCTGAAAACCCTAAACCTAAACCCTAAACCCTAAATCCTAAATCTCTAAACCCTAAAGCCCTAAACCCTAAAGCCCTAAACCCTAAAGCCCTAAAACCCCAAAACCCTAAAACCTAAACCCTAAAACCCTTAAACCCTTTTTTGAACGAGGTCTCTCTGAAGTGCCTTAAACCCTAAACCCTAAACCATGATCTTGATGACTGCCTTCTCATGTTTGAAGGGGGCAACCTGGGGAGTTCCACGTCAGTTCGAGGGCATGGTAGGTCCAGGTGTATTATTCTGACCATTACTATTACTACTTTTATTGCTAGTATCGTTGTTTCCGACTTTTCAACGTTATTTTAGTGCATGATTACTACGATTGTTGTTGTGAGGACGCAGATGCAGCACCGTCCACGGCACCCGCAGCCGAGCACGCCGAGACGCATTATTGGTGTTAGTATTACGATTTTTATTTCTGGTTACTCTTGTGAGTATTGTTATTAGTAAGACAGAGCATTTAACTGGGTGGCCTGCTTTGGGCCGAGCTTATGGCTGTCCATGGTATCTTCCAGGGCTTCCTTACATGATCTGGATTCAGGGTTTATTGTCTCGGGCTTCGCGGACAGTCCCCCTTCGCAAGATGCTACAAGCCTCTGCAACAAACAATCCATCCACGCCTTCAAACTCAAAGGAAGCCTACGCAATCCAACTCTAAAGATAGACTCGATCGACCCATGATCCCAAACTCCGACTGAACAGCTCTTCCGTTCATGGGCGCAGCCCTTAACCCGAAACCCTGAACCCCAAACCCCGAAACCCTGAACCCTAAACCCCCAAACCCGAAACCCTAAACCCTCAAACTCCAAACCCGAAACCCTAAACCCGGAACCCTAAACCCTGAACCCTAAACCCCCAAACCCCAAACCCGAAACCCGAAACCCTAAACCCCAAACCCCCAAACCCGAAACCCTTTTAAACCCTAAACCCCCAAACCCTTTTAAACCCTAAACCCCGAAACCCTAAACCCTAAACCCCCAACCCGAAACCCTAAACCCTACACCCTAAACTCTAAACCTTTAAAAACCCTGAACCCTAAACCCCTAACCCGAAGCCCTAAACCCTAAACCCAGAACCCTGAACCCTAAACCCCCAAACCCCAAACTCTACACCCTAAATCCTAAACCCCCACAACCCCAAACCCTAAACTCTGAACCCTAAACCCCAAACCCCAAACCCGAAACCCTGAACCCTAAACCCTAAACCCGAAACCCTGAACCCCCAAACCCCAACCCCGAAACCCTAAACTCACAGGTTCGCGCCTGGACCTGGGCAAAGGCGACGCGCAGGGCCTCATCGGGCCCGGCAATGAGAGAGCCCTGGCCTTGGAAGCGTCAGAGTCTTCGGCACTAAGGCTTGGGTTTAGGGTTTAGGGTTTAGGGTTTAGGGTTTAGGGTTTAGGGTTTACGGTTTAGGGTTCAGGGTTTAGGGTTTAGGGTACTCATAATGTAGGGGCCTTAATAATTGGAATAGGGTTTTGTATAGTATCAATATAACAAGGAACCCTCCAAAATAATGAAAGTAATTGTTGAGACCCCTATATTTTTAGCACTCGTGATTAAACTCCTATGGCCTTTGGGCCTTGGGCTTTCCAGTTTTTTGGGCTTCGAGTTGAAACTCATTGGGCCTTGTACTGATTGCAGTGTTTCTAGGGTTTTACCAGATGTTCAACTTGAAGGGCTTCAAAATGGGTTCTCTGAGAGGAGGTCGAAAGGATGGAAGGGTTTGGGCTTCGACGCTCACTCGGACAATCCAGGCGAGGCACGTGGTCTTAGAGGCTTTGGGCTTTGGGTTTAGAGCGTTTCAATCTGCCCTAAACCCTAAACACGAAGATCATCCTCAATTGTAAACGCAACAAAAGAGCGAAACCGAATTTTAGGCTCTAGGCTTAGAGCTCGAAAGACCCCTACAACTTTGGGATCTGAAGCCTACCTGAGCCCCCAAACCTACAGAAAGGTAGCCAACAACTTTTCATAGCTTTTAGGTAGTTTGGGGGGTTTAGGGGGTTTCGGTATCACCACCCAGAAAAGGTGGTCCTGAGAGCCTGGCCAAAGAGACTCTCGGGCAGCACACTTCGCGCGTAGCCGGCGCAGTGGTGGCCTAGACTAGAGCACTTTCTAGTATAGGGGCCTTCATAATTACTGTAGAATAGGGTTCTGGGGCCCATAAGGCACCCCCAACATAGTATAGGTAATTATTTAGGCCCCTACATTAGGGGTTTCTGTACAGGTGCTTTGAGGGTTCCTTGAGGTTCAGGGTGATGCGAGTCATCATACGAACGGGCTTAACTTAGTCGGGGCAGGTCTGGGGCGTTTAGCGCTTAGGGCTCCAGAGGCATCTGACAATAGTAGAAATCAACTCACTGCGGTGTATATACTAGTTGGAGAGTCTCAAGCGGTAGTCATCTTCTGCGCCTAATTAGATCCTTCCCGAGCTCAACTTGCAGGCAAACACAGACATGCAGCTTGGAGAACAGTTGGAGCAACCAATTAACCGCCGACCGATCGAACAAAATCCGTGAACCAGAAAACAACTGACTTTTTTGAGCAGAAAACAACTGACTTTTTGAGCAGGGGACTGCAGTACAGGTGCCCACCGGAGTATTTTTCACACTGTGCTCTTGAAAGTACACATGAGGGCAACGAAGACGCAGTGTCAAAAGCATGAGTTGTTTCACCAGGGCAATGAGGAATCCACACTTGCAGCCTCCAGCCCAGCAACAGAGACCCCAAAGCTAAGCCCTCAAACTGGTGAAACCTCCCAAACCCCAGAGCCACCCCACAAACCTTTTTCCCCACAAACCCTAAACCCTAAAAGCCCTAAAGTTTCAGTCAGGCCCGACATCTGCGGCTCCGGCCGGCTTGTCCGTGGCCGTCGAAAACTCCATACAATGCCTCAAGGTTAATGCAAGTTAACGAGTATGGTGTACGTAGGGTTTTAGGCTGATGAAGTTGATGGCCTGTATAGCAAGTATCATAGGTTCTTCCAAGGCTTTCTCAACGTGCTGGAAACTTAAAGGAGCTTAGGGTTCGGCTTGGGCTGTGGAGTGTATGGCTCCGAAATGTTTTCAAACCCGTCAGAAGGACATAGAGGGCAGGATAGAACTCTTTGCCGAAGTGGTACGTCCCACTCGTGCTGCAAAGCCTTGTGTCAGCCACGTAGAACAGCGCCTGTGCTTTGGGCACATAGCACGACAACTACAGGATATGACCTGGCCGAGATACAATGTGCCCATTGTTTGCCAGGGAGTGTCTCGCCAAGACAAAGTCGTCCTGCAAGAGCAGCCATGTCGAGCCACTGCCGCAGGCTAGGGACTGGCTTTTATTCTCAAATGGGTCTCGGCCCTGAAGACCTAAACGGACCTAAGATCCTGCTTGCAACTGCATGGTGCATAAGTCCAGTCCTGATTCGGCACACCAGCGTCCGCCTGAGACGACAACCGCAATCTTTCCATTTATATTTGAGCCCATGCCCACCTTCTTGCACGAGTCTGACAGCTACGATGCCCAGAACCCTCCGTCACCGCTGTGATTCCAAAGAGTCTGAAGCATATACTGAGCTCGCAACCCGACGTCCGCGAGTGCACACAAAAGCCACACCTGATGCAAGGCCGCTGGGACAACGCTACTTCGAGGGTGTTTCGGCTGTTGCGCTGCTGTCGAGGAGTTGGTTTCTTTGCCAGAACAGCGACGGCATTCAGAATTGCCTGTGCTGCGAAATTTCGAAATCATTGTCATCTGCTTCAAAACACATCCGGCCTCGCGAGCGAGCGCAGGCTACTGCGTCCTCCAGGGCAAGTATGCAACATTAGCAGCTGCGAGCAATTAACACACCTACTAGTAGAAGGACTAGTCACCAGAACTCAGAATCAACGACAAAGTCGACGGCGACATGCGACGATGACAATAATCACTGGCACTGCTGTCGTCAGCACCACCAGAGCCCGTCAAAGTATAGCCGAAGGAGATAACCTCTGTCTCCTACCTCCCGAAGAATATTAATGCTGCTTGGCCGTCGTCCATTCTTCCCTGTCTTGAGTGTGGCATCGGTCCGGGTTGGGCTCAGAATCGAGCAGCTTTATTGCAGAAGCCTGCCTCCCACTGTCATCCCTGCCCAGAACCTTGCCTGCAAGCTTGAGACTCAAGACACTCAGCTGGAGAATGTAGGCGCCTTAATAATTAGAATAGGTTTTGGGGGCCATTATACTATAATAATAATAAGGAGCCCCCCAAAATAGTATAAGTAAGTATTGAGGCTCCTACATTAAAGCCGAAGCATCCTCAGGCTCGATCGCCTCAGCAACATTTGCAATGAGTACCGTGTCGCACAATGCCGTTAGGCCTGAAACTCTAGACCCAAAAGACGCCATGAAACGGTGTTCCGGCTGGCACTGTTTGGGCCATGTCTGTTAACATCATTCGAAGGTCATGGACCAGGAGTTCAGTGCACGGTTCACGGTTGGCCAACTTAATCTTCAAAAGCTGGTGTCCAGTGGATCTGCTCCAAATAGGAACCAATAAAGATATGCCGCAGCAAAAGCCGGGTCTGGCATGTACGTATGGCGCGGGCGAAGCTCTGCAAGGCACACTGTATCCGACACAGGACTTCCGGCTCTGACAAAAGATACTCATTAAGCACCTTCTCCGTGCATGGCGCTCGGATCTGTTGGTCCAAAACCAGGGCCACATGCTGCGCGCCTTTGCTAATGAGGTCTTGAAGAAGTTCGTCACCCGCTTGGACCCACGCACTGTCTACGGGCCCATGCTGCAAGCACAGTGACATCTCAATAACGATGCCTGTCAACGGCTTCTGAAACTCGCCACCGATGCGAATACGTTGATGCTCATTCCAATATTTCAGGGCCAAGACAACCAAGCGAAGGGAAGGCACTTGCTTCGTGCGAGATGCAAACACCTGTGCAAGTGCACAGGGGTCGTTTTGGACCCACATGCCGGATTCGTTGTTGAACACTTTAATGCCGGTTCCAGAGGCCACGCAAGGGATGAAGTCCATGTCGTAGCTAACATCAGCATCGCCAAGTCCGGACAAGGCCCCTCCCATTCCCGGTGCCCCAATTTGCACGTTCACGCCATACTTGCCGAGACTCGCCTTGGCTTCTGCGCACGCTCGCTGCCCTGCCTCCTCGAACAGGCCTCTCAGAGCTTCCATAGCTTCGTCTTCTGCATCTGCTCGCTGCTCCACCTCCCCATATAAAGTTCTTAGGGCTTCAATCGAAGCCAATGCTGACCCTCCTACAGCAAGCTCAGAGCTGAAGAAAGTCTTGTCGAGCGAATCAATCCACTGGGTGATGCCCTGGAGAACGAGCTTTTGCAGCTCCGGTCCGGAGTCGTTGCATGTGTCGAAGATCAGCAGGCAGTCGCCATCCGAGCCGGTGCGTCGGCCTTGGGTGGTTGCATGATGCATCGTAGTGCGCAAGAGGTTCGTCCCACGAGAGATTGAGCCCTGACACCGATGCTCTTGAACTGCAACACCGAGTTTGCGAATGTGCTGCACGGCTTCACAGCAGATCTCTTCGAATCGTGCCAGACATCCTGGCTCCTGTGGACGAATAAGGGCTCTGAGGGCAGCATCGAGCTCCTGTTCTGAGCATGGTGTGTCCAACTCCCAACGGATCTCGGAGCTTTCCTGGCCCTGGTCTTGCGGCATTGAGGCACCCTCCGAACAAAATATGCAGTCTCCGCCTAAGGTTGTCGCTTCTTCGGCCCTGAGATACTGCAAAGCATGAACTTGCCGCAACTCCCAGGATCTGGAAAGTGGAGGCTCTGCGGCAAGGTGGGGCGCGCGCGCGTGCAGCACTCGGAAATTACAAGCTAGGCCGACTGCGACAGGCGAAAGTCCTCTGCGCAGTCTAGACATCCGTCGTTTCTCGGGATCTTCTCTGGCCGAAAGACTGAAGGCCAGAGTTTGCTGCGTCGCTGGACTGTACGAACCAACAGCTGACATCTAATCACAAGCTCATCCGTCGGTACCTGGGAGCCAAGCCAGGCCATTATCGTATATTCGTATGTGTGCGTGCTTGCATGTGATTGTATATGTATATATGCAAAAATATGCATCTGTATTTGCTTGTGTCTTCGCTCGTCTTTCTATACAACACACGGGTCGAGAGTAACCTCTCAAGCATCCCCCCTAAACCCTTAACCCCTAAACCCTAAATCCTAAGGCCAAACTTGAGTCCTCTGGGAAGCAGGACACCAACTTCGGAGCGAAATCGGTTTGATCGGCCAAGCGATCATATTGACCTCTGCAGGATGAGCTGTTCAAGATAAGTGCTGTTATCCCTAACCCCAGGTACCTACTATATAGGGTACTAGAGCCCCTAGGGTCCTATACAGTAGGTACCTGGAGGGTTAGGGTATTATTAGCACTGTAACTGATATTATTATGATTACGTTTATAACTATCACTACTATTCTTATAGGCTCTTCCCTAGCCGCTAGAGGTAGACATGCTTGTGCAATCTGCGTAGCTTGATTCGCAAATCGGGATTCACTCTGGCGTCATGCGGCACTAAATTGCGGGTAGTTTATGACTTCGTGTAGGATGGCCTAAAGTACGGCCCTATCGAGCTGTCAGTGTCAATCCTAAACCCAGAATTTTACCGAACCTTAAACCCTCAACCCTATCAACCCTAGGAAAAAAACCCTAAACCCTAAACCCTACGAAACAAAAACTCAAAGCTCATCAAAGCGTGACTGGAGCCCGGGGCTTTGAACAGCCCGAAACTGCTTACCTGGCTTTCGAAGGCCTTCTGAAGAACCTAATGTAGGGGCCTAAATAATTAGAATAGGGTTGTGGGGGTTCCTTATGATAATTATAGATGTCCACTTCCGCGCGACTTCAATGTACAGTTGTTGGACACATGGTCGGCGCAGTATGATTCGATGTTGTGTTGCATTGATGTATATCATTGCAAAGCTTAGTTAGGACGGCTAGCTCAAAGTGCAGCTAGACATTTGACTGATGCACAAGACATCCTTCTGTCCGCAATCACCCCAAAACCCTACTCTAATTATTAAGGCCCCTATATTAACCCCTATGTCCGAAGCCGCAGTGCTCCCCAAGCAGGCTGGGACCGCAACAGAAGAACACATAACCCTAACTTGAGCTAAACTTTGAAGAGATCCTGCAGACTCAAACCCAAACTAAGCCCGCAAGACAATCTGCAGAGTTGCAATCCCAAGCTCTGAACCCCAAACCCAGAAACTCTAAACCCTTAAGAAACACTATGTTAGATCATCTTATAGAATGTAAGATGATTTTATATTGTATTAGAATTCTAGTAACAGTATAGCACAGTGATTCTGAGTCCTCGGCCTTGCACCACGTACTCCCACGACCTGCGAAGGCGAAAGTCCATGAGTTTGGCTGAGATTCAAAGGGCCTCAGGCCTGGGGACCTTCGGGTTTAGGGTTTAGGGTTTTAGGGTTTTAGGGTTTAGGGTTTAGGGCTAGTTTAAGGATGTTGAGGCCAGAGTTTCAGAGTTGTTTAGGAATTGGGGCTGGCGGGAAGGTTTGGGGTGTCTTAGAAACTCAGGAAATTGCAGCTTTTCCGGGGCTGAATGAGTATTAGGACTTCCTTTTGTGCATTTGAAAGTAGTTCCGTTCCTTCGTCCGCGCTGGAGTCTGAGTTTCGTGGCCCACACTTGCTTGTACCCCCTGCCCTCCTTCAGGCTCTTAAAGACTCTCCATCATGGTCTCTTCATTGTGGCACCACCTTGCGTTTTACTGTTTTATTGCAGGGTCCTAATCATAAGCTGGCCCATGCGACCAAAGAGAAGACCTCAGTGACTACACATTGGACACACTATGCAGGTGGGTTAGGGCAGCAGATGCGGACGAAAGGTCCGAAGCCAGTCATTGAGACCGATCACCGATGAAACCTGCGGACCTCCTACCCTCTTCGAGGTAAAACACCACAGCATCTTCGCGATGCGGCCGGTGACAACGACAAAGACAACAATGGGGCTCCGAGAAGTATGACAAGCATGCCTTTGCATCCAACGAATGGGGTTGGCATTTTTGCAGCTCTCTCCCTGTCTCTCAGTTGCGCCATCTTCCGATGTCAAGCGGGTTCGACTCTTAGACTCTTAGACAGCTTGACTACACATGAAGGCGATAAAAGGGCGAGACCGGGGAATCCTGAAAGACTCTGTGCCGAAGAGCGCATTCAAGCACACGGCTCACAGTGCAGCAGTTCCGAAGTGAGGGCTTCAGAAGTAGGGGTCAATCGCGTTGTCAAGTCCAGAGGCGCGCTTTCCCCGCACAGCGCTGCACTTCTACACAGTCTCAGGTGCAGATATAAACAAGGGGACATCCGACGGCAAGTGCTTGCATCGCGGCAGTGTCCCCGACAAAAGCTCTCAGCTCATGCGGAAAGCATCCTCTGCACACTTGATGCACAACCTAAACTTCCGATCAATAAACCCTCAATTCATGCAAAAGGGAATCCTAAACCCTTTGTGCTTCCATGCTTCCTTGAACGCGAGGGTTGCGGGTTCAGAGGTTAGGGTTTCGGGGCAAGGACAGGCTCTCCTTCTGCAGGCCTTTATCCTACAAGCCCTGTCCAAACTACAACAGAATCCGTAGAGTTAGTATCCCAACCCCCGCAGCCCCATCTGCTTGTCGACGACCCAATAATCAGAACCACCCAGGACTACTGTAGGGGCTTTAATATAGGGTTTTGGGGGTTCCTGGTTAAGGTTATAGTATACTATACCGCCAAGCCCTATTCTAATTATTTTATCTTAAGGAACCCCCCAAGCCCTATTCTAATTATTAAGGCCCCTACATGAGCCCCTTAGAGTTGCCCTTACACAGAAACCCGTCTCAGGAACCATAGCTGGGTTGTAGTTTTGGGGCCCGGAACAGTCTTATGACCAGGTACCTCTAAAGAGACCACAAGGGAAATTCTAAAGTTTCACCAAAATTGCCACCTGAACCCTCACCCCTAAACCCTAAACCCACCTAGATAGGGCTGAACCCATCTCAACAGCTCAAGGCGAACCCCGGGGTGCCTCCGTAGGTCTTTCAGAGAACAGGAACCTAATGTAGGGGCCGTAATAATTAGAATAGGGGTTTTGGGGTATATTATACTATAACTGTAAGAAGGAGCCCGCCCCCACCCCCCCCCCCCAAAAAAAAAAAACAGGTAATTATTAAGGCCCCTACATTATGCTACAAAGGCCAGTGTTCAATGCCGGTTACCGGTGAACCCTGTAAGCCCTAGAGCCGATCTAGGTCGTTGGAGGCTTTGAACTGAACTCCCAAACCCTATACTGTTGATGATACAGGGTTTTCGGTTTAGGGCTTCAGGATGAAATCCTTGCATTACCTTACAGACCCTAAACACGTAGCAGGCCCCATGCTTCTGTCAACCTAAACCCGGCTCTATAACTATGCACTATGTACTCTTACGGGTCCGGGTCGTACCTGTGTTGCGGGAGTCTGAGGCATTTCTTGCAGGTTCAAGATTCGATCATTCCTAGCGCTCTGCGAGACCTAAGTCCTAGACTTTGGGGGGTAAGGATTTTAGAGGGGTTAGAGATGTTGCCTGAACAAGGGCTTCAAGCCCCAGCCCTAAGCCCTGGTCGGCAGTAAAGCTTTAAAACTACAGCACGGCCAGGAAAACAGTCGTCCAAAGCACCCACGTCAACACCTGGCTGGGCCGTGCGGCTCTGAAAACTGGCTTCATCATTATTCTTCCCATTACTAGTCTTCTTCTGATTAGCTGTATTCTTATCACCATGCACAGTATTACAAACGCTACTACTGTTACCACTGCGATTACTGAAGACTAACAACGATGAGTGCTACTACGATGGATGCTACTGCTAAGATTACGACTACCGCTTGTGTTATTGCAATGCTTAGCACAGCTGCGACTAGCTATTAGAGTTGAAATTGCCAATTCTGCAACAACAACGACCTCCCTCATGGTCTCTCAGCGTACTTAGAACCATTGCAACTTATCACTGCCACGTAGACAACTCAAACTGCCGTGTTCCATCGCATCTTGAAGCCACATGTGGTCAGTTTCATCTTTTCTGCAGAAGATCCGTCAGGACTTCAGTTTTGCTCTCAATGCATTCGGACTTCGTAACCAACGTATTGGAAACAGGCGAGCCGGAATGGCACACCTTGTCCCCATGCAAGGCTGCGACTCTTAAAACCCCCGTGATATATAGCACGACAGGAGTCTCGCCGATGTGGCCACGAAGCCTAAACTCGAAAGGCTTTTCAGGCCCTCCGAAGCGATCGAGGCCAGTGTGTCCCTTCAGGCTGATCGAACGGTTAAACCTCTATCTAGTTTTGGCCAGAGGAATGGGACTACCCCTCGCCCTTGCCTGCCCCCACCCCAAATAATTGCTGATCCTAGGCACGGAGGCGGAGTAAGTGACGAGCAAAAGCCGCGCTGTTTCCTCAAGGCCGACATAGTCTGATTTTCCAGGCACGAGACTAGCAGTAACAATATTGCTCATAGTGCTCGAACCTACCATAACTACGGTAATCACGGCAATTGTCACTAAAGTCAACACCAGCGCACATGTCGCCAAAAACGCGTCGGCTTGCCAGGCAGGATCTAGTGGCCTACGGCCTACGGCCGGACATTTGCACGATCAATTGGGAGGAGGGAAGTGATACTTGCGCGATGGAATCCAAATACGCCGAAGGAATGGAGCCAAACAAACCTAACACCCTTAACCCGATGCGATGCTACAAATCTTCAACTCTGCCTCTCACCTGTAAGCCCTAACCCCCAAGCCCCACACCATGAACTCAATTACTACTCAGTTTCCTTCCAAGCCCTCCAAGCAATCCCCAGAACCCGGCTCACTATAACAGCTAGCTAGCTACTGCACGACATCCAAAGCATATCCAAGTAAGCTGCGAGATTTAATAAGTTCGGACTCGCAGACATACGTCTTCAATGTCAAGCAGGAGTCCGGCGCTCGCGTTGCGACATAAAAGGGGAAATTGGGTCTTCGTGCGGAATCCTTCCAATATCTTGTATATGGAGCCTACTTTTCAGGATGTATTGCGGTCGTTCATGCTATCAATGATCTAGCCAATCCTCGGTTCTCTATGTCAAGGTCCAGCTTCCCCTCAAAGGAGTACGCCACTTGTATATAAATCAAGGACCTGATGAACCAATCTTCCGAGCTCCCCTTCGTCGCATCCCTCCCATGCCGCACCAGGACCGGTTGTCCAAGCCGATCAGCCCTTGTTCTGACTTCTGCTTGCATCACGACATGTCCACCGAACACCGTAAACAGCATAAGCACTCCATGCCCCTCAGCGCCCATAAACTTGCCATAAACACCAGTGCAAATAGAATCACCCACAGCACGCAGCCCCAACAAAGCCTAACCTTTGGAACTATGGTAGGACCCCAAGCCCTAAACTCTAAAACCCCCTAAACCCTGAAAACTCTAAACCCCAAACCCTGAACCCATGAAGCCTCTCAAAGCCCCTGAGCTGTGAGGCTGGCCTTCTCAGCATTCCCCGAAACCTCGGGTCACAGACGGCTACCTACGATTGATTAATACTACGGTTTTTGTATTATTCTTAGTACGTTCATTGTTATAACTATTGTTACTACTACTCTGATTGCCACTGTTCTTCACATTGTTATTGCTGTTGCCGCATTGAAAGTAGGGGCTTCATATTATGATGTTGGCATGTCAATGATATGGTCATGCTATAACGATGGTAACAAGATGGATATTCAGGAGACAGGTATATCTATACACATCCGTACATCTGGCTTTCGTTAGTGGATTCAAGCCCACGCATGAAACAAAACCGTTTACGCTTTCTCCAGCTATATAGCCGAAAAATCTGCGCGGGAAGCCGCGCCGCACACATCTCGATGGGGCTGAAATCACGATACCAAGCATCCACACGGCACGAGCCATTTTATTGCAGACCAGCCATTTGGGAGTTGATCATTCAATTTTGAGCCGTGGGGCTGGAAGCAGCCATCACCCTGACATGCCACCCATTTTCCAGCTTCAAAACGGCCGCCTGGTGATTGCATTGTGCACTTGCCCAGACAGGTCAGGGCGTGTGAATTTCCTTTGAAATTCATTCCGTATCCTTTCGTCATCCAGGTTCTCGACAATCACGTCGATGTTCTGAAGGCCCTCAACTTGTTCAAAACAAAAGAGCCTTCTGTTGTCCAAGGTGATGTACCTCCCTTCGTATTGAACCACTCGAATGCGAGGTATCCGCTGAAGATAGCTTGGATCCTCGCGCAAGCGCTGAATCGTGTCGTTCACCTTACTGCCATCTGAAAAAGTAGGACCAATGCTTTCCTGACAGAACTCCACATCTTTGGGGTTTATAGCCATCGGGCGAACCATGAGAGAATCGAGAATCGCGATCGCGCAACAGCGCAACTGTCGACAGATTACCCAGACACCTTGAACCAAATTGATTTGTCCATACTGGCTTGGTCCATGATGCAATTCTCGTTGTTCATGATCCCTAAACCCTAAACCCTAAACCCACCCTATCACTGCACCATATCAGTATTCGTGTGTGCGTTACCCAACAATGAAGCACAGCCAGGTTTGCCCTGAATAGGCAGTTTAGGGTTTAGGGTTTAGGGTTTAGGGTTTTAGATGCGGCATCGAAAACTGGATGGTTTAGCAACGGCTTCGTAACGCGTGCCAACCATTAAGAATAAATATTCCACTATATGCAATCGTTAACATGGACCGTAATTAACAGCTGGTAATCATAGCTCATCCACAATTTAATCACTAGCTACCCATGAGTATGAGAACCAGTAGCCATCATGACAAACCATTGCTAATCATAATCTAGCTAGCTTAAAAGAATGAGACTTGTGTGGTTATGTGGTGTATCTTATCCCACCGTAGATGCTACCATGAACGCTTCTCTTTCCGGCAACTCTCAACTGTCCGAGGTTCATAGCAGAAGCTGTGGCAAAAAAAACGTAGTACCGTAGCGTGCGGGGGCCCCTCCAGCTACAGGTCCGTATAGGTGGATGGCAGTTCATTCTCAAGGAACCGTGATTCAGTTTAGAAGGAAGAGTGTTTCAATTAAATCCTAAATACCTAATACCATTCTGGGAGTTCCTTATTGTAATTATAGTATAACGGGCCCCAAAACCGTATTCTAACTATTAAGGCCCCTACATTAAGTAGCTTCCGGCCCTCAGTGCTAACTGCTCTGGGGTCTACAACAGAAGCTTTGGATGTTCAACCTTCCACGGGTGAGGCATCTTAGACTTTCCGGTGAAGCCTAGTGCTGCTTAGTCGGCCATTAGTCTACTGTTTAGTACTGTAGGGGCTGGAGCTACCGGTAACGTAAGGGATACTTACACGACCCAACAATGCAATAGGAATCGGAATTCCGATAGTAACTCAAGGAGTATAGTTACACAAGACCCAACTTCCTGCGGCGGAGCAGCCCCGGCCATCACAGCGAGGTTGATCATTGGAGGACCACATGTTTGAAGGAGGATCGTCCTCGGGCACAAGATGTATTCAGAATTAAAGTTAGTTCTTGGCAAACAAGGTTGTCCGGGGGCCCATCACGAAGCTCGCAAGAACTAAGGTTGGTCGGGGAGAGCAGCATTTGCCGGCTCTCTCTGTATATTACTGATGTGTATTACGAGACCCAATTGAGCTTTTGGCCTTTTTTTGCAACTGGCTTGCAACGTCACGCCAGGACAGCTGACTCGTTCCCAAACCCTAAACCCTACACCCTAAACCCTATAGATCCCTTAGTAGGACAATCCCATTTGAAACTTACAGGAACTCTGGACCCTACTCGATGTGTCTCTGTCTCTCCCGAAGGCCCACTGTTTCGAGTTCTGCCGAAGGCGGGGTCTTCCGCATACGGTTTAGGGTTTAGGGCTCAGGCTTCAGGTTTCAGGGTTTTAAGGTTAAGGTTTTAGGGTTTAGGGTTTAGGCTTTAGGCTTTAGGCTTTAGGGTTTACACTCTCACAACTCGGACAAGCCAGGCGAGGATCCATAGGTGCAAAGGGTCGGCGTGACACAACGGTTTAGGGTTTAGGGTTTAGGGCACTCAGGACACTTGTCTTCTCGATTTGTGCGTGTCACCCTTGCGCAGGGGCCATGCTAATCTTCTCGGCATCCTTCCAACTTTCTCGGAGGATTCCCTTCGGCTGCATGCTTTTTTATCGTTAAGCTTCGGTAAGCCGCCTGGTCCATCATCTTTAGATCTGCGAAAGTCTAGAAGTTGTGATGAAACATCTCCCAACATGTCACCAGAAACACAAAACCGGCTCATGTGTGTGGGCCAAATGCAGTTCAAGAGTGTACTGGTAAACTTGCGGGAATCTGCTCGTAGAGGTTTGGGAACTTCTGGCATAGCACGTTTCGGCAGGTGAGATTCTCGGCAGCATGTTTTCGTTATCTCACATGTTGTCCTCCCTCCCGGACATGCCATTTGCTGCAAAAGTCCCACCCGACGGTCATCATCTCCAAATAAACGTGTCGCTAACACGCGGCGGCTCGAGTGGCTTTCTGACGATTGCGCGAAAAAGGGCCTGACTTGATTACCTGTAGTATTCCTATGTCATAACATGGTCCCTTCGGAGTCCACTGATGAGACTTCCTTGTTCACGAACGTCTTGACGCATCCGAGTGGCTGTCACTCAGTCAGTCAGTTTTAGCAGCCTATTTCTTGGCATGCTTTTGGACTGCTG